AGTGAGGCGCGCATCTTCCTTCTAGCTCCAATGATCTTGTAAACTCAGTTGCGTCTTCTAGGTTTGTAGACTCCCCTGTCCCCAGTACTCACAGGCTGTAGATCTTATTGTTAATCGGCATGGTTGGGATATCACGGTTCTCTTAAACTCTTCCAGATACGTATTTGATAGTAAGCTTTAAAAGTAGTAAATGCCCAGAAGAGGAAGACACCTCACTTAAGTCAAAGGTTAGTAGGACAATATATATTGAAGAAATAGAAAACGCGCGCGCGTGCTGTATGCAGTTATAAAGCACGCGGGGGTTGGCAGAACACGAGAGAAGTGTTAGGAGAAGAACGACGCGTAGCGGAGTGCTTCTCGACACTTCTCGAGTGTTCTGCCAATTCCCAAGTGCTTTATAACTGCACACAGCACAGCAAGCAAGTTTTTTATTTCTTTTATAAAATACAAATTACAGGAATGACGAAATTGAAAGTGCGCGCGCGTGCTGTGTGCTCTCATAAAGCACGCGCATCCAACCAATCAGAACGCGAGATTCATAACAGTTATTTTATAAATATATATATCTATGCTCTATATTATCATTTTTATGTTCATTTAAATTTGGAATGAAAGATTGAATCAATCTATATTTATGTAAACGCGCGTTCACTGTTTTCCCGCCAATTTCTCGAGCATGTGTGTTTCGTTTTCACTATGGTGATTATGACATGTTTAGAGCTTAATATCATTATTACTCAAGGCATTTATGTCACTGATATCGACCCTAAATATGTAATATTTAAAAATCTATATCCAACAAGAAGCTAGTAACGCTAACCGCTGATATTACATGTTTAACGCGTAGTCAATCATAGTCAAAGATATACAAGAGAAGCACAGAAACCAAGTTGGGGCTACCTGTGGTGAATACAATAAAAAACGAATAACCAATCAATGACCGCCGCTGATTGTAAATTTACCGCCTTTTATCTTTAAGTTTGAAAGCTTCTTCAAGAATGACATGTTTGACTTCAAGAATACTACTTTCAACGTGATAAGAGAACCAGCGTGCCAATTCAACTTTACCTTCACATTTGGTCCCAACCTTAAGTTGTATAACATCAGAGAAGTGTTTGAAGATAAACTCAAGCGTATCAATAATACCGTTGGTACGTTGAGGTTGACTGACATAGTAGCTCATGTTAATGGTAAGTATACACTTATTTCAATAAAGTTAGTCACCTGAAAAGCTACAAAGCTGAGACCGACAAGGATTATTGGTAGATACATTTTACATGTTTTAACCACTTGATAACTGTTGATGGACTTGAGATCTTCTACCAGTTACAAGTTAACCTCCTCTGAGCATCCTCAATTGCTGCAGTTTGTGTCAAAAGCTTTACTTGTTGGATATAAAACATTTCCCCATGATTCTCAGCGATCACAGCTTTCTAGGCTTTAGGTGACTAACTTTATTGAAATAAGTATAAACTATTGACTTAATTAATGATTTGAAACAATTTACACCAAAGGATGGCATTTAGAACCTTGTAGGCCGGTTTTTTTCTGTCTTTGGAGAAAACCCCGATTCTGCATTCATTGTTCTACCTTCCTAGTTACTGTTGCTACGTCGGACTAAAGCTAAAATTTGTTTTTGATATACAGCATAGAGCAGACACCGATTGCTGAAAATTAAAAATGTCTGTTTTAGAATAAATAAATTCTTAAGGTAAATCAAGGGAAAAAAAATCGATAACGACTAAAAAATTCTTATAAATTGGAGTCTGCATTCCATTGAGAAAACTATGTACCCGTTATATGGGTGGATAATCAAGCAAAGCCGTGATTGGACTATTGGTGAGTGGGAGAGGAGAGGACACCTAAAATAATCGTTAAAATCTCCCTTGATAATTTATATAGTTCCTGGTGTTACGCTTGGTGACTTCAAAGACCTTGCCGAGGTCTGTAAAAAGATATGCTGTGATGGGGGACCTGGAGGGAATATCACTTTGACCAAAAACTGTAAGCCTCCAGACAAGTGTAGTAATTACAATCTCAAGGTAGTGGTGCCAAAGTGCTGGGATGTTTGCTCCAGTGTGTGTTCAGGTGAGTCAAATCACTATGGCGAGAACAGAGTGAGGTTCCATTTCAGATCACGTGTCATTCTCCTAAAAATATGAATCTTTGTTTGAGTTGCACAGAAACTCCTAACTCCTTATAAGTTTCTGATTTGAAAAATTCATATTCTGTCTTTTTGCGTTATAACTTTAAAAAGAGGGTCACAGGTTTGTTAGCATATTGCTATTTAGTGCTACCCTCAGTAAATAAAGAGTTTATTATTATTATTATTATTATTATTATTATTATTATTATTANCATAAAATCTGTTCAAGGCCATAACCACCACTTGGACAGTGGTCCAGTTTTTAAAAAAGGTGGCCTGTTTATTTTCTTTTTTCTTTGTTTTGTTTTTGTTTTCATTTTACTTGTGTAATAAATATTTTTTTTACGAGGGGTAAAAATGGTTCTGAAGGTAAAAAGTGGTGCGACTCAAAGCGGATCAACCGTACTGGTGGCTACGGCCCTGCTCTTTTAAAGAGTAATAATACTTTGGGGAATGACAAGTGAAACACCAGAAACTCCACTGCGTCTGAAATTATCTGGCTGGCATAATTATGAGAAGTGTTTTAATGGCGAAGTGTGCGCAAGACTGTAAAATCATGCACACAGACTTAAAAACCTTCAAATTTACCCTGGAACAATTTCTGGGCTGATCAAAGTGTTGGGTTTGGCGTAGGGAGGAATTAAAACCGGAGAAAAACCCCTCAAATCAAGGCCTAGGGAGAGATTTACTCACATGTATTATATAATTATATATTCAGTGTTTTGTCATTTGTCTATTTATTCAGGGGTGCCCATGTACAAGATTTCTCTTTTTGTTTTGCTGCTTGGCGTATTTATCAATTGGTAAGACTTATTTTTCCAGAATCTTTCTTTATTTGCGCTAAGTATTATAGTTTGTGTCGAAAATTGTGACAATCCTACTAACAGCAGGTGCACGTGCACGGTACGGCAAGGCAAGGCAACACTGACATTAAAATGGCTTTTGACGCATGTTACCGTGGGTGACCAATGTTCCTCGATGACTGACGATGGGCTAACTCACCAGGGGGGAGGGGTGGGGAGAGGGTTCCCACATGTATTCATAATCACTATTCTCAACCATTTTCTTTTCCATCTGACTTGGCGTTCGCAGGTTTCCGAAGTAAAACACCAGTAGCAAATGGAGGCGCGAAAAAACTGAAGACGAAACCGTTGAATAGTACATAAGCAAGCTTTTTCGCTTAATCATGTATAGCTTAGAATACCGATCGACGCTGAAGTTCGTAAAAGCTAGGAGTCGTTGAAACATATTTCAACAAACGTTCTCGGCCGGAGATCAAAAATGGGCGATCTGCGACTATTGATAAAATACGACAAAGTTACATTTCTTACATAACTCGTTACATAACTCAAAGGTCATGCTTCATTTTACAGTCTAAAAGGAAACTGGGTTGTTCGGCTGTGAACAGTGTGCTATTTGGTCTCTGATTTCCGACCGACGTTTTTTGAAATAGGTGTATGCAATC